AAGCCAATTCTCTTCAAACCTGATTTACTTTGGAGGTTGGAGCTGGTACCCAGTTTGCTATTTTTGGCTTAACTTTTATTCTGAGGAATAACCGTATTACTGTGTGAGAGAAACATTGAGAGGTCTGATTATGTATATCAAGCTCTGAAACAATGCTGGTATTGTAAATGAGTCAGTCCAGGGCTGGTTCACTTGAGACTGATTGATTCGGAGGAAAAAGAGAAATAGAGCGGAGGTGCAGCTCTGTTAGCTGTTCAGGGCCAATCAATATTTTATGGATGATGGGTAGCGGTAAAATGCAATCTTGTCTCAAATGCATGAAGTATAAACAAGAAGTTTATTATATCAAGCAATGCGTAACTTTGAAATACTGTCGTAATGAACAACATGAGTAAGATGTACTCAAAAACAATACAGCCATGGCTTAAAAGCAGCATGTTTCACAATACTGCCAATTACACGGAATTCTTCTCTGCCAAGTAGCATTAAAATGACTACTTGTATCAGTATTTTGGACAAAAACATTCTGTGGGATTGAAAGAAATCTCATGTTGTTTTACTGTTCAGGAAAAAAGCAGAATATGAATAAATTTTGAGGTTGAAAGCATTGTGCTGATGGTTCCATGCTGCTCTCAAAGGTAACCTGGTGCAGTCCACATCACAGTCTGTTACCATCATATCAACAGATACAGTCAGGATAATTGAGAAGTTATATGGTTAATTTCAGCAGTGTGGCACCTTAGGTAATGATTTTCACATGAATGACCTCAACATGTGATGAGCAGTATGACAGCCTTGTGGTTCAATATTCAAATTTGCAATGTGATGTGTTTGACAGTATTCAACAGTGTATATGTAAATTTAATTAATAACTTTTGCTGTTGCCATTGACATTGACTGCTTTCTAACCTTGCATCCAAGTCACTGCGTAGGCTACTTGAAACTCTGGTGCCATTTGGTGTCAGACTGTTACGATGTGTTCACATAGGCACTCTCTTTAATTTATTGTCTCTTAAATGTAATTATTACACATATCAGACTTGTATTTTTTATAGTTAAATTTGAGTTACAGTGCATTTGCAGCTGTGCTAGCAGCTAATGAGGCTGTCTTTGTGTTGAATGCTAACATTAACATGCTAACATGCAGATGTATAGCTGGTTATAATATTCCCCATGTTCACCATCTTAGTTTAGAGTGTTAGCATGCTAACATTGGCTAATTAGCATTAAACACAGATGAGATGACACATTCACATGAGCCTGCTGGAAATGGGAACTGCCCATTGGTTCGACAGCCCATTGGTTCGACATCCCATTGTTCCGACCATATTAAACTAATTGTTCCGAAGTCCGTTCCGAAATCATCATGATGCCCTGTGGTTAAAGTCTGCTTAGGTTTAGGCACAAAAACCACTTGGTTAGGGTCAGGAAAAGATCATGGTGTGGGTTAAAATGAAAAAGAAAGTGACAAACACATAAGCCGTGAGCCTGCTCAGCCTCAAGCCGGTCGCGGCGCACCATACGCCCGCCGCGAGCCGTTGAGCACCGCGGACAGTCGGACTAATGGGATGTCGAACCAATGGGCTGTCGAACCAATGACATGGACCCCTGGAAATTAAGGTTGGGTACCATTTACATTTGAACCAATACTGGTACTGGTGCCAATATCTTCAATTCGGTCCTGGTACCCAGCGATACCTTTTTCGGTACTTAACTGTTTCTGTAGGCTAATAACAAAAATGTAATCGTCAATCAAAAACAGCGGTGATACTGGGCTATTTCTAAGATGAAATATAAAAGGAAACAGACCAGATGGGCCAAAACTATCTCTGCGAAGCTGTTGGAGCTCCGTGGCCAGCTTCCCTGCTTTGACGCACTTTACAGCGCTTCTGCTTCCTTGCCAAACCCGGTGGCTCTGCAGAGCTCTGTTGTCTGCGAGGCAATGTGCCTGAACCCAGCATTCTCACCCAAGTGTGCTCTTAGGTCTGACATTTGGCACCAATTGATTTAACATGCAATGGTACTTCATACATCAACATAATTCGGTAAAAGTACAACGTTTGGTACCCAATCCTAATAGGATTGTCACTACATTTGAGGGTATTTTCAAAGTTGTGGATCAAGTAGCAGTAGTTGAGCATTAAGGGATCACCAAAGTTGTTACAATACAGTGAGGGGGACATGACTGTCCGTACCAAATTTCAAGGCAATCCATCCACTCTCACTCAAAACCACAAATGTAAATATTGGGATGGCAGTGAAGGAACAGTGTGGAGATCACTCAAGTCAATTGGATTAATCCTCTGGAGACCATTCATGCCTGTACAAAATTCCATGACAATCCATCTAATATTTGTAGAGATATTTCAATCTGGACCAAAGTTGCCACCCATAGCGCCACTGCGGCTAAAGCTGAAGCCACACAGCACTTACACTGATGCCTTTTCTCTCTGTTTCTGCATTGTAAAGTGGTTTTCTGCTGCTTACTCTCTAAAATACAACAGCCACCAAATAACACAATGTGAAAACACAATACACAACACCACAGGGGCCATTTTCATTTGTCTGACCCAAAACGTTGTCCGACCAAACATTTGAATGAACATCAAGTTCATTTTGATTTATTCCACTTTCAGACCCAAAAGCTGTTGAAAAGGTTGAAAAGGTTTCAACAGATTGTTCATAGTTGCTGACCCTCATCATGGAATTCTTTGCCACATTTTTTCTGAAACCACTGTTCCATGACAGTACTTGGGATGCTGTGAGAAACGAGCAGGCCAAATACAATGTTTTTGAGCAAGAGTGATGTTTTGCCTTGACAGGCAGCTTAAGATCTCTCAGCACTTCGGGACCCAGTTTGAGTCCAGTTCATTTTATTTATGACCAGGGGCCTACTCAATACTCAATACTCGATTTCTCTCTTTTTTTTTTTTTGGTCTTAATTGATTAAAAAACATTTGAAAACTCGCTCTGACTGGTCCTGATAGACTTTAAGTTATTCTTTCACTTGTGTTTCATAAACTGAAACGTTATAGCGTTTTTATTGGCGTACCTTCGGCAAAGTTACTGGTACAGTTGGTTTGAATAGGACTCTCTCCTTACAGTCTATAATCAGAATAAAAATATTGTGTTGAATATTGTGAATCATGATGATATCTGAAAATAATGTTGGGTATTTTGTCTGGACCGCCAACTCCCATGTGGGGAGTGTTTTCTCAGCAGCTGTCAAAAATATACCACCGAAATCAGGAGGATGTCGTATCGTCACACAAAATATTCCTCCCAGAGGTGTCAAGTGTCATTTCAAAGTGAGCAACAATGAAGTGACTGCCAAGTGCAGTAAACCTCCTTCTGTTTCTTCTAAAGCCTTAAAAAACAAACCTATGGAGAAACCAGGGTTGATGTGAACCATAGTAAAGTGAGAGTCAAACTCCACCTGTGGTTACATACTTTAAACTGTGCCTGGACCCTTCACTGGCAGCGTCTGACATTATCCTGGACACAGTCCAAAAGGAGCAGAGTTGGAGCCAAACAGTGGGATCAAATTGAGGGCTAAGCATCATGCAAAGAGTTGTGCAACATAATCCTGCGTTTTGCACCCCAGTAACACATCTGGAGTGTCCTAAATCAGCCAAACACTGCGTAAAAGTCATTGTTCTTATTTATTTGACTCTTTATTTGTTACTTTTATTCCCTTCCTTGTAGGGAGATGTATTCACAGAGGTAGCAGAGGGCAAAAACAGACAGGAAAGTTTATTTAATGACGTGCTGAAACATACAGAGAGGTTTTTGCACAGGCTCGGGGTTGAAGGTTCGATCAGTTTATTTAGATTATAATTAGCATGGGTGTATCTTTAGTTGTGTTTTATAACTGCTGTTAAAAGCCTGCTGTCACAAAGTCATCCCATGGAGCAACTTTTGGCACTCAGGCAATTATTGGTGAGTTTTGCAGCCTGTTCAAAAACTTTCACCAACCCCAGTACATTACTGTAATTATCTTCAACCTCTAACATAACGAAAAAATGCGATTCTTTAGTGGTACCGGGGTCTACGGAGTCTTCCAAACAATTTGCATAATAACTCTTCACAGTATCGTTGCTGCCTGAAATTGGATCTAGGATATTTTCTGTGATGCAGAACCAGACAGGGAAGATTGTTCCTCTTGGTTATATTAACTTCCAATCTTTTTTGATCCTGACAGCTCCTTTCATGTTGAGTGGAAAGAGCAGTTTTCCTTCCGAGATATTACCCATTGCATTGCAAGTTGACAAGTCCTCCTCAAAAGGAGCGGAGAGTCCTCATGTACTTGTGTGTAATCGTAAAAGAGTTCTAATTTCCAGCTCGTCCAAAAGTCATAGCTTCACCCTTTGGCTAAATTGTGAATGCACATACTTTTTTGGGTGGAGAGCAAACAAAATGCCAATGTCTGAGAATTTGTTTCCAGCTGCCAACCTCAGGAAAAGACTGCATGTATTGCTGAGAGGAAGAGGTCATTTTAGGAGAGATGCTCCCAGTTTCCAAACGGGAGAGCTACCTGCGCACAATACGACCCAGTCAAGTCTTCAACATGTAAAACCTGGCAAAGCGTGTAATTGTTTCACTCCTCCAGCTGAGCTTCAGCAGATTGATACTGTTGACAGGAAAATGGCAAACAGGAAAACACTGTCTAGATAAACAAATTAAAAACCAGGGCATCCGTGCTGAAAGGAAAAACTGTAAAAAAAAGGAAAGAGAAACGGGGATGGCAGCATGAAACACAGTGTTGTACCAACACGGTGTGTGTTTCCTTTTCCCACCTCAGGTTATGTATAAATAGAGCCTAAATACTTAATGAACCTTGAGATTTTGAGGTGTTTAAAGTCCAAAGGCAATATTTTTCAGTGGCTCGTCCTCATCCTGCTGTCGGGTGGGACTGTGAGAATACTTGAAGAATATGAAACTTATACAAACAAAAAGACAATCAAATTACTGTCTAAAATGTATTATATTCTTCTCTGCAGGACCTCCGGGAAAGCGCGGAAGAAGAGGCCGCAATGGAGAACCTGGTATGTACATTTGTGTGTGTGTGTGTGTGTGTGTGTGTGTGTGGCCGGCCAAAGATCACTGAAGTCTCAATCCAGAAACATTCAAGGAATAATTCAGGAGGACATCAGCAAATCATACTGCAGTTACAATCATGTAAAAGTACACTGTATATCTTTGGAGGCCAAAATAGGTTATAGATGTGTAATTTGTGGCCTGGTGGTTTCGGTGTTCGCTTGGATTGTTTCAGCTTCTGTCGCTATAGAAACACTAGATTTTCACAGTGAAACTGGGAGACAGTGAGAAAAGCAAAGTGATGCCCAAACTCGCTGAAGCTGATGACGTCCACGTCTGAGTTTTTGGACACTCGAATCCTCCTGCGCTGATCCTAGACATGATGCACTTAAGGTCAGCATATATAATAGCTGTTTGCCTCCACAAATACAGCAACAAGTTGTCGTAATGCGTTAAGGATCTCCAATCTCCCCTCCCTCCTTCCACCCACACACTCTCTCCTGAGCTGACTCAACAAACTTGGCGCAGCCGAGGCCTCGAGTATCTCAGAGAAGGACATGTTGTGCAGCGACACTCCCACAGACGTGTCGCCACAAATTGAATTCACAGCGAGAACATGTACTTGGCAAAGGAGCTGCACCCACACTCCGTTCACCTGATAGTGAGAGTGATAATGGGCTCTGGAGTGTGGCAGCGTTCCTGTGACGAGAGCGCAGTGCAGCAGAGTGCAGCCAACGCTCTGGAACAAAAGTACTGCCCTTGTAAAAAGAAATTAGAGAGACAGGGCAAAGCAAGGTCCCAATTTTAAGTGAGGTAGAGTAATAAGGGAGCGGTTTGGTTTCACAGCCTGAGAAACAAACACTGTGTCTGTGAGGGGAGAAAAACACTGCCGGTTTTACCACCAAATCCAGCCGCTACTTTTTAAAGTCACAGGAATCAAATCTAATCAGATGTTATTTGAGTATCAAAGACTCTTTCACTTTCTTTATTTCTTTTGATTTTTGTCAAATTAATCTCAAATCTGTTGTGGCCTTGTTCGGCATTCTGAGATGTGGATCTGTGTGGTGGGGCTCCTTCCTTTTTTTTCTGATTTACATAATACTAAAGGAAAAAAAGACTGAAACCCAATGACGGATAGACAACAGCTGAAGGTTCTGGTTGGCTGCAGATCTGAAACACCGCCAGCCTTTGTTTATACAGCGCTTAACTTTCCAATAAACATCCACCGTGCCAGCGTATTTCAAATGGCACCATTGTGCAAAGACAGGTTTTTTTTTCTTTCTTTCTCTGGTCAGCCAGAGCAAATACGGAGAATGTGAATGGCTTCCTCTTGACAAATCAATTGGAAACAAGCAAGCAATCATAACCCACTCACAATGTCTGGACTGCAGAGGCACAGCGCTCTATTAAGGGGAGACAATAGGGAACAATTGGGATGACGGGCTTTACAATTCTCTATACAGCAATAGCCCAAATTACAGGACTAAACAAGGCTGAAGTGTGTTATCAAATCAGACAGGCCTGACCACCTGAGAGAGCCTCACCTGCCAGAGCGACTGCTTTATTAATGTCAGGAACTATGACGAGAAGCAGTGTTTAGTGCATGCTCACTGGTTATGTGCAGCATTCAAAGTATTTAAATGGCTTTATAAAAGCAATGCTCTTGAATTCCTGTAATGTTGGCACCCTTAAATGCTGTAACAGTGATTCTACATATTAGCATGCAATTATAGCTCAGTTATTTCTGCTACATTTAGTGTTTGAATATGTTGGCAAGCTTGAAAAACAATATTCCGTGTGAAACTCACACAAGCATTCAAAACAAATAAATACGACGGCGCCGTGCTGCATTATGGGAGCCCAGTGTCAAACTCTGTGTACCCGTTCCACGGAGAGAGAGGAAAAAATATTTAGGAGTCATTATTTATACGACTGAAAAATTCAGTTCTTGACGGGCACCGGCGTGCTGCATTCTGCACTGTAAGCCTTCTGCAAATCCAATTTCCCTCTTTTTAAGTTCTCAACACTGGTGGATGTTGAAGGAAGGCATATTTAATTCATGATTCGCTTTAACCAAAAGTAAGTAAGCCGCGGCGAGTTTCCCACAAATTCATGGTGAGGTGTTTTGCAGTTTACTCATCTACAAAGGCAAAGGGAAGCTTTTGCCCAGACTTGGCTGCAGCTGACAGAAAGAACAAATAGGAAAAAGACACGGTGATGTTTACCTATGCATTAAATATGAATGGGATACTTCATTAGGATCTCTTGTTTGTGTACCGGTAACATATGGAAAGGAAAAGTGTGGCATGACAGTTTAGGATGAAGAAGTTTTTGTAGCAGTGAAAGCCACACTCTCAAACTGTTCTAGCAGGTGGTCAAAGCTGGAAAGTGTTAGAAGTTTCCTGCCATATTTTCCTTATGTGGATAATCAGCACTTTTCACCGATGAACACAAAAGGAGGAATTGATGCTCGATTTAAGGAGAAGAAGAAGACATACTTTATTAATCCCCAGGGGAAACCTCCCAGTGGTCCATCGGTGTCAAGTATGAGGAGAAGCAGCTCTTTCTTTGCAACAAAAGCCTCTCTCTTCTTAAAAAGACTGACTCTGAAAGCCCCACTGCGGCTTCTCTCTTACCTTTATGTCATATTAGAGCAACAACTTTACCATGGTGTGAGCAGCCATACAGCTAATACAGCATCTGTCTTGTGAGTTCAGTAACCTTTACATTAAGTGGCGACTGGTTGGCAAAAGCCGGAGGGCGACAAACTGTGGAGGTAATGACTGGAGGTGCCAGTGTGAGAACAGAAAGTGAAACTCCAAATGAGCTCTCCGGGTGGATTAGTTAACATTATGTCACACACTATTTAATTTAACATGGATTATATTTCAGCAAATAATGTTTTTGCTTTAACTAAGGCCATTAAATTTAAGAACTTGAAGGCTTGTACCTTTGAGGTGGCCTTCATGCGCTTTGCAGCATACAGTATGGCCCATTTTTATCGCATAATTTCTTTGATTTCCTGTAATTGCTCGCTGAAAACGCCGCACCGAGGCCATTCCACACAGTGGGACATGTCAGAAAACACACAGCGGAGCAGGTTTATTAAAAACTAAGTGGTCTACTGTAACTCAACGATCCATAAAAACAACGCTACAGAAGTGCAGCCCAGCGCGCCTCAGACACACGGCTCCTTAAATGCTCCAGCTGCTGGAATAATTTGCACTTTCCCCTGGTCATGAAGAAGAACAGTTCAAGGACACAGGACTTGTAAAGAACAAATAATCCATTTTTTTAGGCTTAAAGCAGCTGGGTACTTTTTAATAAGAACCTAAAGACCTTAAATGATTTGCAGGGCCCTAAAGTGCGTTGGCACAGTCCTTTGAGCAGCAGTAATTGGGGAAAAGACCAGTGTCACCTCACAAAAACGTGGGAGGTTTTTTTTTTTTTTTTTTTTTTTTAACTAGCCTGCAACCTCTTGTAGCAGTGAAATTAGAGCAACTTACAGTAAAATGTGATCACCAGGCCATTGTTGGCCAAATGCATGGAAACTACATAGAAATTTCTTGTCACATTGCTATTGTTCTGTATCATACTGAAGGTAGAAATGCAGGCTGGATTTAAAGTAACACATCATGGAAGAGATGCATCTTTATGACACGTTCCTCCCCAATTAAAGAATTCTCAGCATGAGCCTGATTTTCCCCTCTTACTTATTTTGGATATGTGGTTTTTCTGGAACATGGATGATCTGACTCTGTTTGGTCGCTGATTGGAAACACACTAAGATCTTTCTTTTCTTTTCTCTTTTCAGGACCTCCTGTAAGTATGCCTGCCTCACATCTTCTCCAACTGTGATAGCCATGTGAAGGTAAAACCTCAAGAACAGTTTAGAGAAATATTACCATAAAACCTTAATGTCACATTTTGGGGGAATACACATATTTGCTCTCTATATGCAGCTACAGTCAGCAGCTGGTTTGCTTAGCTTTGCATTAAGACTGGAAACAAAGGTAGGCCTAATAATATACCGCTACCAGGACCTCTAAAGTCTTGTTATCACAATGAGGATGCCAGGTAACCACTAGAGACCCTGGGAAGTCACTGCAACCTGCCCCCATGACACCACAAATTGTTATTTAAATAGATTTTTGTACTGATTAAACAAATAAGGAGGTACTACAGGGTTTTCCCTGGGTTTTTTCACGACCAAGGTGGCAAAGGCCCCCCCCTTCCATTAAATATGAAAGGAGGCCCCCACATGCTTGAGCTTTACACTGCTGACTTGTACAATCAGAACAGACATGTCCTGTGATTTTCAGCCTTCTGTGATTATATTTACCCTTTACAGCAGGCACATCCTGACAGCTGAGAATATTACTGTCAGGTACTGTCCCCCCTCTATAAATATGAAAGGAGGCTGAAAATCACGACATGTCTGTTCTGATGACACAAGTCAGCGGTCCTGAAATGTGTGTTTCTCTTCTATAATACACATTCTACATCCCGGAGGCAATGTCTTTCCACATATGGGCTTCCTTCGCCTTTCAAACGGGGCAGAGCTCCGTGGGAAATAGTAGGAGAGACACATCCCGAGGGGGAACCAGGATCTGACACAACACTGGAGGGAGAAGCAGGTCCGTGGAGCTGTGTGCCAGACTAAAAAACAAGCGTGTTGCACCGAATGCGTGCCGCTATGGCGTCGCTTTGGGTTGTGAGCGCGCATGACACACGTCTACATTGAAAGTAATGGGTTTGTGCGCACAAAAGACGCTACTTCTGAGCGGAAATCACCCAGGCGGCCCTGCACTAAATAGGTCAATGCAGTCACCAGAAAAAATGTCAGCATTGCACATTTCAGCAAACGTCACATTTGCACGTTATATGTAGCAGAGAAGTTGAAATTTTACATTTCAGCAACACTATGTTTTAATATGTGGTCATGTTTAGGCACAAATTGCTTGGTTATGGTTAGGAAAAGATCATGTTTTGGCTTAAAATACCCAATTTTGGGGGCACAATCCCAGCAGAAAAAGCAGCGATACCTCAGTGAAAAACAGTTTGTGCCATTTCCCCTGCTGCAAAAACATGGATGGGTCGCTCCTAAACACCCAAGTTTGGAGCCTGAAAAACAGATAGAAACACAGCAATGACTTGCTAAAACACAACTGTTTTTTTTTATTTGTTGGTGTCGAACGGTGGGCTGCAGCTTGGAAAAGCGTCTCGCCAAGGTGTCACACCATCAACCTTCCCCTCCACCTCCCAGTGACAATGGCAGCTCATTTGCTATGTTACTGAAATGTGCAAATGTAATGTATTTGTGGTTTTCACAAACATGTAATGCCAACACTTTCTTCTGGTGACTGTGCTGAGTGGATCTCACCTCTCAGCTTTGGACAGAGCCAGGCTGGCTGTCTCCCCTTGTTTTCCAGTCTTTATGCAAAGCTATGCTAAGCTGCTTCTTCAGTCCACAGACATGGGAGCAAGCATACCTCCCGAAATGTCAAAGTATTCCTTTAATTATGATGCAAAAAAGCTGTAAAGCCACCCCCCCAATAAAAGAGTATAAACCAGTTTTTACAGTTGATGTAAAAGACATCTGATTATGACAAATACGCTACTAGAAATCTCCGTTGTACCACACAGTCTGACTCTATTATTAAAATAATCTCTGCATCCCTGCCTCCACCTAATAGAGACCCTTGTCCCTGTCATTTGGACAGTCTGGTTTGTAATATCCTAACTACCAGCCTCCATCCCTGGCAGCTCCCTGCAGCCGGACAGATTATCTCACCTCATTACACTGCTGGGTGATCACAGATTCACTCCTCTTAACAGATGGAAAACTTCAGAGTTTCCCCCAAAGATGAAGACAAACCCATACATACATAAGCACCGGGGATTGTGACAGTTGGCTGTATAGCCGGGTCAAGCGGGCACTGCATGTGTGTGCGCTGTTAAAATTATTTATAGTCCGGAGGCAAGTGTGATTGAATAGGTATAATAGCGTGTGCCGACTGAGCCGTAAAAGTTGTAAGTTAATCCTCAGAGCCTTCTCAGACACTCGCTCCTGGGGTTCTGGGACGTAAGTAAGTGCAGGTGGTCTCACTTCTCAGCCTCTCTCACCAGGCCGTACGTCTGACAAATAAAATCAGACTGTGAGATGTCTCAAGAGCTGACTGGAAGTGTTGTCTCTCAAATGTTGGATTTGCCAGTAAATGTGTGGGATGACTGGTTTTTTTGGTGCTTTTGGGATTGTTCCTGTGGGTGAGACATAGTAAATCCAGTGCACAAACAGTAAGTACCTGACAGTGTTCCAGTTGTGGCCAGCAAATCACTCTCTGATGAAGTCATTATAGGAAGCAGAAGGTGCTGTAAAATGTTTGGTAGGGGTCCTAGTTTTACTGTAGGAAAAGCAACCAGGTTTCAGCTGAACCCATACTGCACAAAGCAACAAAGAAAAGGCCATAATTTACAGTATAGACCCAAAAACTGAAGGCTGACTGCATTTCTAAAAACAGACAAGTCTTCAGAAAATGCAATGATCTGACAATGACTCACCCGATGGTCACCAAATCTGTTTCCGAAATAAAAAAAGTCCCGTGCTAGTTTCTTAAGAAGAGACAGTAGTAAGTGATCTCGTGTGGTTTTTCATATGGTATGCCCACCCGGGGGATGGCAGGGGACATGTCGCTATGAATATTCAACAGCTCCCTCTATAACTCCAGGAACACTGCGTAAATTGTACACAGGCCCTCGGAGCCAAACAAACCAACCGCTGCTGAAGCCATTACAGATCTCTGTGACTTAATCGTTACTCAGCCGCTGATGAATGGACAGGGACCTGCGGTTAGAGAGACAGACAGAGAAAATAGGTCTCATCAATCAAAACTGATCAGGAAAGATCCTCATTTGTGGCCCGCGATCACCGTTTAGCGGTGCTGGAATGTAACTAAGTACATTTACTCAAGTATTGTGCTTAGGTACAAATTTGAGGTGTTTGTGGGAGAAATTGTACTTTTTACTATACCACAATTATTTGACAGCTGAAGCAATTAGTTAATTGACTGGCATAAAATGAAGTGGCAGTATTTGATAGCCATTTTTAATGAACTTTGGACTGTTTGTTGAACAAAACAAAGCAATGTGAAAGTGTCACTTTGGGCTCTGGGTAATTGTGTCTGCATTTCTCACTGTTTTCGGTATTTTTACAAACAATCAACTGATTAATGAATGAATTAATTAATCAGCTTATTAATCCATAATGACAATAATCATTAGTTACAGTCCTGCACAAAGTAGTTAAATGAGTTAAATGAGCTTCACCTCAACCAGCTACAGCAGTTTAATGCTGCTTTTGCAATAAAGGGACTGTTGAGATGTTTAGAAGTGGGGTTGTATGGAGCACTTATCCATATGCAGTGTTTTACATACAGTAGATGTCAGTCGGCACGCCCTTAGTTTTGAGACACAGGCTGGAGTTTGACATGGAAGCTAATGTACTGCTGTGGAAGGGTCATCAACAAAATGTATTTTAGTCACCTAAAAAAGTCAATTGTACACTTTTTTCCTCGTGATATCCAGTGGGACAATGACGACGTTATATCGCTCTCTTCAAAGCCAGACTCCATTGAGAATAACAGTGATTTAACATCGCTAAACACAGGAGCCAGCTGGTCTACCGCTGCCTTGATTAGTTAGTTTGTTGGTGTTGTTGTGTGACTTTGGTGTTTAAAAGGGTTACTTCAGATTCACCAAAGTCACACAATAATACTAACTAACTAATTGATCAAAGCAGCGGCCGACCAGCAGCTCTCTTATTCTCGATCTTAAATGACTGTTTTTCTCAATGGAGTCTGGTGGCTTTGACGAAAGCATACATGGGGAATAGAAACTATCAGTATGCGCTGTCTGACACTATATCATACACTTAAATTGATATTTTGTTTTTTTAGGTGGGACTTTTTTTTTTTTTTTTTTTAGTGGCTAAAATACATTTTGTTGTTGACCCCCAACCACAGCAGTGCATTGCATAGCTTCTGCGTCAGCACTCCTGCTTCTCCAAACTGGGGGCGTGCCGACTGACATCTACTGCAGGTAATACACTGACTATGGATAACTATACCAACAACCTCACCTCAAAAAATCTGAACTATCCCTTTAATGCATGACTAATAATAATCCATTGATTTAAAATAGTATAACAGTCACAGGGGACATTTTTCTCACACCAGAGTAGTTTTACAGGGTGGTATTAGTACTTTTACTTAAGTAAAGGACCAGAATATTTCCTCCGCCACTGGCGTTTAGACATGGAAAAGTGATTGGCTTTGTTTTCATTTCCTTTTTTCCACTGCTTAAGCCTTTGTGTCAATTTCACATGGAATCACAGAGTCAGTTGTCAAGTGATGTTAAGTTGGATATCTCTTCTTGTCTCCCAGACAGATTGGAAAACTATTAATGGAGACATGTTGCAGATACTATATGGGGCAAGATGAGTTTCAACTTTTGCAGCATTCACGAGAAAAGTTGCTTCTTCTTGCCACTGAAGCCAGAAAAGAAATGTTTTTTACTGTACATAAAAGTTAGTGAAATCTGTGAAATGACAGCCGAGGCAAGAATTATCATGTTTCCGCTTCTCATTTTTTTTATCTTCTTCCTTCATCTTTCTGTGGCTCTTCAAGGGCGGTCCGTGTCAAAACATCAACCCTAAGCATCCACCGCTGTGTGTGCACACCATTTAGCAGCAATCAAGCATAAAACACCATCCCTGAGGCTGCACTGAAGTACCCACTAACACCACTCACCGACTGTACTTTTTT